CGTATTGAATCTGATATGCGCGTCAGTGAAGCGTAGTGACTTTATTGTGACCTCTAAGTTTAATATATACATGCATGTAAAGCATACTGTATTTGTTGTTATGTTAATCGTGTGTTTCGCTAATCCTGCGAGTTTGAAAGGTTCTTAAGGGCTGATTACATGAAGCGATTTCAGCCTGGGCTGAAAATTTTGACTATTACATGGTCATTTTCATTCTGATTCAGCTCTGGAACAAATAGTTATTGGATTTTTTCTCAAGTTTATACTTTATATCGAGTGATAACCATGCTTCATTGTATTTCTTTGTTTGCACAACAAGGCGTGATGATTGAAACTTGACGACATTACCATATTCAAATTACGGCATATAAAGGCCAGTGGACCACGGTTACACATTAAGGCCGGATTCCACGAGGCGGAATTTTTCGACCGAAACGAAATTTCTCTTTGTCTTTTTACAATTAGTTCTGCTCGAGAGCTCTGAAACAAAGAGAAATTTCGATTCGGTCGAAAAATTTCGCCTAGTGGAAAACCGCCTTTACACATTACACATTACACATTACACATTACACATTACACATTACACATTACACATTACAGAGCAACAGAGTAGGACTGGATATTATTAATAGCCCTATTCACATTAGAGACGGATATGAGATCGAATTGCTAATAGATCATATTACTGCTGTTGTACCGCAATTGTAAAATAAAAACTTATTAAGTGTCATTAAATAAATGGATAAATTTTGCTAATTTATGCACTCACGTGTGCAGTAATTTTGACAGTTGTGCTATTTTAAATTCCCGGGCACCTAAAATCTTTTGTCCTTAAAACAATGTCGATTTCTTGGGAAATTTCGAGGTTGCGTTTTTTTTATACACCCTGTAGATTGATACTTATGTAATTAGTTGTGTGAAAATTTGGAACATATAGGCCAGGTGATCTTGATACGCGGAAAAGTACTGGCACTAGTTGTCAAATAGAAACCATTTTATGATTAAAACAACTGAATATCTCCTGTAATATAATTTATTTCGATTCCATATTTATGTCAGAGCTATAGTTCTCATAACCAAACATAATTACAAAATTTCAACTAGTTTCATAAAGAATAATGAAAGATATAATTGACTGAATACATCAAAATGGATTTCTATTCGGACAACTCTTTCTGAGCGCTGATTGGCTAAAATACGAACACGAGATCACCCGGCCTAGTTAGCGCAAATTTGCATGTACACACGCAAAAACGGACAAGTTGTTACGAGTCTGCAAACAGGTTGTTACAAATCTGTTCACGTAAGACTTGAGGTGGTCTTACGCCCGTATTCTAAAAGCTCACTCACACTCACACTCAATGAGTGGAGGTTCAATCTGAGCTTCCCTTGAGGGTCAATGCTGTTTTTGAATAGCTGGAGGATGAGTTTTCACATAGTACGGTACGGCACTAACCCTCCAGCTATTCAAAAACAGAAACGACACTCGAGAAAAGCTCCGATTTAACCTTCACTCATTGAGTGTGAGTGAGCTTTTAGAATACGGGCGGGGCGCAGTGTTCAGCAAAGTACTCAAAATTTTTACTTAAGTAAAAGTGAAAAGTAACACCTCAATTTTTACTTAAGGGAAGCCTCACATATCGATTTTGTCCATGAGAAACGTCATATGTTCGTTTCTCTGGAGACCCCCCACCCCCCTTAGAAACGTCACACATAGTTATCGATATTTTGTTCAATATAGTACACATAAAGTAATTTTCTACTATTTTTTTCGGTCGGCTATTGGCGATGCTTCCGCGAGGAATATGTCATCTTCTGCTGACATACTCTTTTTATTAATATATATGTGAACTTCAAAATTTCCAACGTTTCTCAAAACAACTTTTTTTGCATGAAATATTGATAATTTTAGCGCGTATTTCTTGAAATTTGAGTGTTTTCAAATGCAAAGAAGGCGTAATAATATAAATGTATTATGTATGGTATAGAACAGGTATGGTATTACGAATATATAGACTGCTGTTTGTATCAAATTGTTTTCTTTTTTATACTCTGCAAAGATAAAAACTATCGATTTTTTCCATGATGTTTACAGAGAAACGTCACAGCTGCCAACCCCCCACCCCCCCCACCCCCAAACGAACATATGACGTTTCTCGTGGAAAAAATCGATATATGAGGCTTCCCTAAGTAGAAGTAAAAGTACTGACTGAAAATTTTACTTAAGTAAAAGTAAAAGTATTGCCTGAAAATTTTACTTAAGTAAAAGAAAAGTGCTGGAAAAATATACTTAAGTAAAAGTACTACTGAAATAGAATATAAATTCGTGAAATTTGGGCGGAAGTAAACCGGAAGTAACAGCCCTGAGCCAAGCACATTCCCACAATCCCAACAAGTCCCACCCAATCCCACCAGTCCGTTTTAATAAGAAATACTTTTTTAAAATTTTTACTTCGCCAAAATATAACAAAAGTAACGAAGTAAAAAAGTAAATATTTACCAAAAATCGTACTTCGTTACAAGTAAAAAGTACTTCATTAAAAAAATACTTCGTTACAAGTAAATACTGATTTTTTTTACTTAAGTAAAGTAACGAAGTAAATTTACTTCGTTACTGGCTAACACTGGCGGGGCGTTACTCTTTCAAATGATGTGCATAAAGTACAGCTTTCAGAAAGGTATTCATTCAGTAACCTGAACTAACAGAAACACTAGAATTGGCTCCAACATTCCTTAGTCCCATGAGTCCAGCCATGTCTCATGCCAAGACATGTCAGACGTACCTATACCGTAAAGTAGTATACCGTTACGTATACGGCTTTGAATACCTTGGGCTTGATAAGGTTCTATGGTGCCATGCAGCAGAATGCAAGCACGCAGATAGCAAGAGTTCCGCGTACCTACGTGGTACTTCGTTGAAAACAAAGAAGTACCAGACCATAATATTGGCGTACCTCCGGTACATAACGGTGCGATTTATCCCACCCTGTACCTTTTTGTGATTAACCATAGTCTATCAAGATATGCCTGATCTGGAAACTAAACAGACGTCATTGTGTTATGTTTTTGTCTGAATTTATGTTCATTTGTGCACGGTCACGGTGAGCTCATTGTATTTTCGTATAATGAAGTAACCGTCCAATAGGGATAGCTGAGATGAGACGTGCAACCACGATGAATAATATTTAAGAGGAGATTTTTTTGTATGTTACGTAACACGCGCTCAAAACTAATGCGTATAATATACCACTTGAGGTTATGACTAAATTCAAGATTTTTAATTTTTCGATACGTTTCTCAATCGGCAAACAAACTTAAAAAGTATGTTTAGTGTTTTATCTATAAAATAATGCTAAAATGAAGAGATTTTAGATGATACGCCGAAGAGAAAATGATGTCTGAAGTTCAGTAAGTTTTGCTTATATTGGCTGTAAATATGGCGTCAATTTTAAAGCGTCATTGATAATTGTATTTCAATTGACAATTTTTAACTATTATTTTATGTTTCTCAACCGGTAGATGCATTTAAAAAGGTAGTAACTGTATAAACTAGACAATCAAGCTAAAACAAAGTAATTTTGAAAGGAACGTCAAAAAGATTTTAGGTTTTGAACACTTTTCATTGCAAATACGTGACATTGAAAAAAATTGCCTCTTAATGAAATTGAGACAAAGTATTTGTGCACGGTGAGGCAGAGTTCAACATCAAACAAAGATCTTCTATTTTGTGGCTTTGAAGTTGAGTTTGTCGGTTAACGGAGTTAACCGAGTCAAACCGAACCCGAGTCAAATGTCCAATTCACTGTTTAGCTATCTTTGTAGTTCAATGACTTAGTACCCTAACCCTACTCTTAACCGTAACCCTATTTGATTGTGAATTTTATTCAATTTCGTCTTTTTTACGTGACTCCGGACGTTTGACTCGATCGGGCTTGGACTCGGATTTGACTTGGTAAATGGATTTACTCCTTTGAAGTTTGCCTGGCTTCCAGATCATCATATTTTCATAGACAATTAATGGATTGACTCAACGATTAACTGATGCCGTTATTTTAGGTTTAATAGCTTATTTCGCTTTCTGGTGAACGTTCGTCGCACTCAAATGGAACTACAGAATGTCTGGACGATGTACAAAGGACGTCGAGCCGCCCAGAAAGGAATTTCTAAGGACATTTGGTTACTGCGAATGGAAATGACGTTTCTTGTTGATAATCTACAGTACTACTTGCAGGTATGTGTGTACATCTAACCCATAAATCTTGTAGCAAGTCTGCCAACAAGTTGTGTTCGCACTGCTTGTCCCAAGTTGTCAACAAGTATAGAACAAGCTGTTAACAACTTATAACAACCTTGTTGATATGTTTGTGATGTTACTCTGAGTGCATATCCACACCGGGCGAGCATGAAAAATATGCCCGGCCACGGTGGGATTCGAACCTACGACCTTTGGAATACTAGCCCAATGCTCTTCCAACTGAGCTACGCGGTCAGGACGGTTCGAGTAAGTGATATTTCGGAACAATATCTAGTTCCTTCAATACCAATGTGTTCTTGTAATATGAATTTTTTTCTGTGCTGGTGTTGTGTACTCAGGTGAATAATATGTTTGTGATGTTACTCTGAGTGCATATCCGAACCGTCCTGACCGCGTAGCTCAGTTGGAAGAGCATTGGGCTAGTATTCCAAAGGTCGTAGGTTCGAATCCCACCGTGGCCGGGCATATTTTTCATGCTCGCCCGGTGTGGATATGCACTCAGAGTAACATCACAAACATATTATTCACCTGAGTACACAACACCAGCACAGAAAAAAAAAACCTTGTTGATGTTATCAGACTTGTCGTAAGTCCGATACAGTCATGATATAACAATATTGTTACAAGCTTGTATCGTCAACCTTGTAACATTCTTGTTATATTATGACTGTATCAGACTTGTTGGAACAACCTTGAAAAACGTCTGATAATGCCATCAAGCTTGCTACAAGTTGTTAACAGCTTGTTCCAAACTTGTTACAACAACTAGGAACACGTAGTGCGATCACAACTTGTCGACAGCTGGTGAACATATTTGTAACAACTTGTTTGCAGACCTGTAACAACTTGTGCGTTTTTACGTGTGTAACCCATTGCCTTTTTTCACTACTGTAACAAGGTGGGCAATTGCCCCCTTCTAGAAAAATAGCCTCAACCTTTGGTCTCAACTACCCAGAGTGCAGAAAATAACGTTCGTGTGACCCCAGATTTTTCTAGGCGGACTACCCAATCAAAACATAAAATCACATGTGCAAAATCAATCTGATTTTCTGTCATCGAAACTTAAAGTCATAGGACCGGATAACCAATAGGACCAAATGACCATGACTGGATCTCTAGGGGGAACTCCTGATACTGAGATTAAAGGAGAACAGTTTAGAACTGATAGAGCTGTCCAGTATGGATAATTGTTAGCTTAGTTTCATCTCCCATTATGCACGTGTTTATTTAGGTTGATGTTTTGGAGACGCAGTATTCAATCTTGTTGGAGAAAATCAACAGCACAAGAGACTTCGAGACATTACGGCTGGCTCATGATCAGTTTATCACAACACTGCATGCTCAGTCTTTCCTACTTATGAGACAGGTAAGACCATTTTAATTTCACAGGGATTTTACTGCCGTCCATTAGTTGCATCTACGATTACGATTAGACGCTTACCCAATTACATACTTAGCCTAGACTATTTTATCTTTACAATAGACTAAATTTTGATCTAGGCAAGAACAAATCCATCACCACAGCTAGAAAGAGCATGTTAAAATTAGTAAAATTGCAAAGTTTGGTTGCGAAATGTTGTAAAATGCGGAAAATATAGCCAGATCGGAAATTTGAAAA